AAAACAATTCATCACCAGCAAACCACCAACAAAACAACAAAAAAAAAGAAAAAAAAAAGAAAAAAAAAACCATGCCCCCAAAAAGAACCCTAAAATACTACCTCCTCCTCAAACCTATCGCCCTCCTCCTTCGCACTCTAACCTACACCCTGGCCCCCCGGATAACCCCAACCCCAACAACAACCCTCCACATCCCGTCCCGCGACCCTCAAAGAACCATAAAAGTCCACGTCTACAGCCCCCCAACCGCAAACCCCACCAAGGCCCCCCTCCCCATCCTCCTCAACTTCTGCGGCAGCGGCTTCGTCATCCAAGGCCACGGCCTCGACAACACCTACTGCACCCACATTGCCAGCCACACGCCCTACACAGTCTTCGACGTGCAATATCGCATAGCCCCCGAACACCCCTTCCCGGCTGCCCTGGAAGACGCAGAAGATGTGCTGGCGTATGTGCGGTCACGGCCGGAGATGTATGATTTGAGTCGCGTGGGGCTGAGCGGGTTCTCTGCCGGGGGGAATTTGGCGACGAGTTTGGCAGCGAATCAGAAGGGCCCGTTTAGGGTGCTTGTGGCGTTTTATCCAGTTGTGGATGCTACGAGGCCTCTTGGGGAGAGGCGGGCGCCGGAGGTTGGGGGGTGGACTTTGCCCGGGTGGTTTGTGAGGTTTTGTACGGTGGCTTATTTAAGTGGCGGTTTTGAGGGACGGGGTGGGGATGTGAGGATTTCGCCGATTCGGAGGGCGGTTGGTGATTCGGGTGGGTGGAGGGTGGAGAGGGTTTTGTTGGTTTCTGCTGCGAGGGATTTGCTGGCGCTGGAGTTGGAGGAGTTGGGCGGGTTGTTGAAGAAGGGCGGGAATGGGGAGTTTTTGAACAAAGTCGTTGTGGAGCGGGTTGACGGGGTAGGACATGCTTGGGATAAGGTGGCTAAGGAGGGGACGGTGGGCTGGGACAAGATGATGCGGGTTTATGGCATGGTCGTGGATTTGTTGAATTAGGTAGTGTTCCATTTCTTTTCTTCTGTTATGATGGGAATGGGGGTGGATGATTTGATAATGTTTAATTCTGTGGTGTTTGTTGGGTTTTTCCCCCCCCCCTTTGTATGTATTTGTGGATTGAATTATATATACCCCTGTTTGTTAGACCAAGGGCCAGTATTTCTGGATGATGGTTTTCTTGTTCACCTTGCCCATTGCGTTGCGTTCGATGTTCTCGACGATCTTGAGTACCGTGGGGATCTTGTAGGGCGCCATTTCTTGCTTGAGTTGTGTGCGGAGGTTCTGGAGCTCGAGGGGCTCGGTCTGGTGGGGGGGTTGGTTAGCATTGGAAGTTTCGAACTGTATATAGTATGTGGGATGGACGTACTCCAGGGCGTTGCTTGACCACAGCAGCCACCCGCTGTCCCCATTCCTCATCTGCGAGCCCAACTACTGCTACTTCCTGGATAGAGTCTAGTCCCAACATCATCCGCTCTACTTCCAGTGCAGAGATCTTGTACCCGCCTGACTTGATCAGATCGACGGATGCCCGTCCCTGGATAAAGTATGCGCCAGATGCATCCCGTCTGGCGACATCCCCAGTCTTGAACCACCCATCTGCGGTGAATTCCTTGATCGTGGCCTCAGGTCGACGCCAGTACTCTAGGAAGACGTTGTCTCCCTTGATCTCAATCTGGCCATCTTCATCCACCGCTTCTATGACCTGTCCGGTTTCTTTCTCGGTTAGTCGTACCTGTACGCCGGGAAGCGGCCACCCGACACTCCCGTCGATGCGCGTCTCGACCTCCAGTCCGCAGCTAATCGCCATGCCAATCTCAGTCATCCCGTAGCGCTCGAGGAGCGTCTGACCGGTGATCTCGGCAAACTTTGCCTTGATAGGTGTGGGAAGCGCCGCGGAACCGCTAACGACAAGTCGCAGAGCGCGAGTTCCGTCCCGCGCCGCGGATTCCTGCTCTGTGCCACGGATGTGAGTCTCGAAATAGTCAACAAGGCGAGAATAGATAGTCGGCACAGCCATGAACATGGTCGAGGAACCCTGATCCTGCCAGCGGGACCAGATGACTTTGGGATCGAACTTCGGGTGCATTTCAACGGTGACACCACTCAGGAAACTAGCCGTCAAGCCATTAATAATCCCATGCACATGATGGAGCGGCAAGACATGAATAAGGTGATCCGAGGGCGCATATTTCCATGCCTTAACTAGGCACTCCGCCTGAAACGTGATATTCTTATGCGTTGTGACACAACCCTTCGGACTAGAGGTCGTACCCGACGTATAGATCATTAATGCGCGCCGATCCAACGGACATTGCGAGCTAAATGGAGGCAATTGGACAGCTGTCGGCGCGACCCTCTGCGTAAATGGATCTAGATCCATGAACGGGATACCATTCTTTGTCCCCTCCCGCAAGGGTGTTTCGAAGTGTGCGAAGCTCGGATGCAGGATGATCAGCGACGGGTCCGAGTCGCCGATTGTGTAGAGTAATTCTTTCACTGGGTGCGTCGTGCCTTACAATATGAATCAGCTGTTAGTGTTTCAGCCAGACCAGAGTGTTTGCGACGCATACAGAGTGGCACGGTGACTCCGCCCGCTGCCCAAATGGCCCATTGTGTCACCACATAATCGTATCCATTCGGTGTGAGGAAGGCTATGCGCCTTTCTTCTAAGTCCCCGGTTTCTGTGAGCTTCAATTGCTCGAGGATCTGCTTCTTTAGTGCTGCGGTGTCGGCGAGGAGTTGGCCGAAGGTGAACTGTTGGTTCTTGGTTGTGTCGATGACGGCAATCTTTTCGGGATTTGTTTGCGCATGCTTTTTGGCTGCGAGAAAGAGCGGGAGGGATGGGATGGATGTTGATTCGGGGGATTGCGTTTGCGGGTTTACACTGCGCAGGAGAGGTGTTAAATTAAATGTGGTTGAGATGGGGGGGAGGAGGCCGAAAACGGGGGTCCGGCTTGTATAAATACCCGTTGCTTGGTTCATTTACGACAGCCATTGTGGCTTTACAGGGCAGAATAGGGCACGTAGGAAGAGGTAGGGTATTAAGCGATGCTTCAGAACATTTATTGAAAGGTAAGAACAAGTGAAGATCAATTGGAATGCAACCATAACATGAGGTCAGCTTTCGGCATTTATGCGGGGGGTAACGTTGCCGATCGTTATCGCGCCGTCGGACTTAAGATAAGAACAAATTACCCTGGTTCCGGATAACCCGTAGGTTTTCCTCTAGAGTGTGTATACTTCCATGTTTACCGGTCAAGATCAAAAGGCCAAATAGACCTAAGGATCGCTTCATCCGTCACTGGTTCGTCTTCCGTGTCCTCATTTGTCAAAACCTCGTGCAATATTCCTTGAAATATCTCCATGTTGGCCTCCTTAGTCGTTTCTAATTGTTCAGGAGGCATCCACCCATCAGTAGCAGTGCCAAGCAGGCTTGCCAATTCGCCTTTCAGATCATGAGCTGCCTCAAAAAGCTTGAATTGTTTCTTGTGCCTAGCCAATTCCATAGGTGTTGGTAAAGGATACGCACATTGACCTGCGAATCCCAGCTCTTCCCAATGTTGAGCTGTTCCAATTAGCTCGTCTCGTAGTGCTACCGCGCCATCCTTCCATGTCCTGTAGCTATAGCGAAACGGCCGGAAGAGACTATCGTTCATCAGTCTCGGTCCAGCTAATCTGGGTGTCAGAAACTGAGTGCACGCCTCAAACGCTTGCCGACATAAATTTGATCCAGATTCGCTATGCATAGCAAAATTAGGCACCTCATCTGCATACCACCATGATGGCTCGATACTGGCTGCTTGCCAGTCGATGATGCCCGTGACTATAGAAGGGTCGTCTTCTGAAACAAATATGTTTCTCTTATGTAGATCGGGGTGAAATAGCAAGGGTGTAGCGGCGTTCTGGATACGAGGATCTGCTGACATTTGCTTTAGTACTTTCCGAGCGTGTCCAAGGAGAGTCAAATGTGCTTGGATTGACCCGTGGTATGAAGGTCTGCTTTCAGCATCAAGCTCAGCAGGCGGAACCCTTGATAGACCGACATCGATAAGGCCGTCAGTGAAGTCGATATTATTGGACCCTATTTGTTGTAAGCAACTTTGTCGAATGACCACAAGTTTTTTAAAGCAACATACAAGGCCCATGATTCGGTCTCACAATATCATAGTATCTCCGTTCCCCCACATTACAGTTTCAATACCGAGGTCCGCAATGGGGCCCGATGTAAAAGTTTTCGTCTAAAAACCCCTTCTTGCCAGGATCCAGCGGACCATCTGAAAAGTACAAGCTTCCGAAAGCGGGAAATTCTAGATTAACCACCTCTTTAAGGCTCTCATGGATACCTTTGATGCATCTGATCTTCTGGTCACCAGCCAGACTCTGCCATTTCTGGTGTAGCTGGACACCGTCGACATGCTCCATGATACTGTACTCGGTACCAACTAGCTTACAGTCATCTGTGGCATTATCACTCCAGTCTAGGATCGTTGGGATGAGAATCCTAGTTTTGGCTTGCACTAAGATGGGTGGCCAACTAGTAGTTAGCCATAGTATTCAGTCAGCGTATCCCGTCTCACTCACAGTACTTGATTGTGGCTACCTCTGAGGCTGTTGTGAGCCTCGCCGGACCAGCTAAGGTAAATGGGAGTCTCGCCACGATGCGCTTGGCATTGCTCAAGTGAAAGATGAAGATCCTATTGAAACCACCCTCGATCTTCTGACAGGCAGTGATAGCGTTGGCCGCGGGAGTTAACTCCAGGACCCTTCGGCAAAGGGCATCGAAGTCGAACTTGATGTAACGCGCCTCGCGCTCTAACTTATCACGACGCAGCCATCGACCACTCGTATAAGAATGTGGGTCAAGATTAAAATCTGTCTGATGTCAGCGAGCATGGAATTAATCACCATGAGAGTGGAGGCTCACGGTTTTGTAGATACTGCCCTTGAATGGATCGCACTCTTTGTCGAGAATTGTGGAGAAGGGTGAGGGAAACGGAAGCATGAACGTGCCGGTGATGAAAACAGTGAATTCCGATATAACGTCGCCCGTGGCTTCAACTTTACTATCATGTTGATTGTTGTCAGGTACATTGTTCTAGACGGACATCTTATTGCTCGTGACTTCCCATGTCCGGTATATGCTTAGTCAGTGTACTAACATCCCTGTCCTGGCGTTTATTGCTATTTTTGACGCTTTTAATCTTACGACTAAGCAACCAAGTCGACAGTAATTCACATGGATACTATAGAAAGATGCTCATTGTCGTGTTACAACTTGGCAAGCCCCGGAAATGAAGAGATCAACAGCCGAGAATAGTTGTCGGCATGTCCGCAGTGGAGAATATCGGATCTTGAAACGGGTCTCATTGTTTCATAGTATTCGGTCAAACTCCGGGTAAACAAACGACCAGTATACTGCCTCTCTATCAGCACCCATAGTTAATACATTCAAGCCACCCAGTACGAGAGAAACCCTAAGGGAAGATTTTCTGGGTCAATATCTGGGCCTACCAATTTAGGTGTTCGTATACCAAACTAGTGCTGCCATGGCGTTTCGGGCCGCAACCCTACGGATATATATCCTGCGAATATGGTAAAGTGTTCGGGGTCTGGTTTAAAGATGGTGGATTGGTTAGTAGTATATAGATGGCTTGGATAATTACGGCTAGAACTAAAAGATTTGATTATTCCAACTAGGAATAGATTGATACAGAACACTTTATACACTTGTGTCGTGCTATTTGATAACTATAGATGGATATCTAATTTCACTTCCTAATACGGCAATTACAGCCGAAGACCTGATGAAAGGTAAGTAAGTATACTCCAATCGGAGCCGAGTGACTACTCCGGACAGTACTGCTTATCCAAATGGATCTAGATACCTATTACGAGGTGCAGAGTTGTCAAATGCGACACCCGAAAGGAATCAGGCTTGGATTACTTCTTGATCTTGAAAGGTCAGTCAGTTGCATTGCGTCACTGCCACCGATCACCATGCAATGGCACGTGACCATCGGAGTTTGTCTTCAACTCCGAGAATCCTGGGGCAGCATTTGGAGATTCAAATAATCGCCAATCGGTCTGTATGGAAGGAGACACCAGGCGGGATTCATGATGTTAAGAGGACCTGCATTGCGGACGAGGTTACTCTGGCGACCGACAAGTCTGCTGCGCACGACGCGTGCAGTGTCGTCATTGACACCACCACTGATTCGCATCCAAGACGGAACCTTCTATCAGAACTATCCTAGTCCAGACGATGCCGCCAACAACCAGAACCTGCCTCTTTTTCCGAACCTCAATTTCGTTCTGCCCGCCGACAAGGCAACATCGGCCGAAAGCAATGGAGATCAATCGCTGCAAAACTGGGCCGTGATCGGTACTTCGGGACGAACACAGCTGCTCGATGTTCTCCGCGGCCAGTATGTTTGTCTCCCCCCCACGGCTCGCTCCTATCCCTACCTCCTCACAGACGAGATTGCAAAGAAGGATCCTCGGTTACGGTTCGTTGGAAACGCAGTTCAATATATCGGGTTTAGCGGTGAAGGATCGGGAGCGATTGGTGGTACCCGCGGGGCCTACTTGAGTGCTCGCTATGAGAGTCTCCGGGAAGAGACGGACTGGTCGGTGCTTCAATACCTTAAGGGTCAAACTTCCTTGAACCCCCTAGAAGGAGAGGAAGGCGGAAAGATTCGAGATGAACAGCTACTCAATCAGGTCATCGCCGATCTGCGACTGGGAGAGCTCCTGGACATGCCCGTCGCAAACCTGAGCAATGGTCAGACAAGACGTGCGCGGATCGCAAAGGCACTACTCAGTAAGCCGGAGCTGCTGCTGTTAGATGAACCTTTCAGTGAGTAACCCTCTCTCGGGCTCGAGTTCGATTATATTGCTAACAACTTCTAGTGGGCCTTGACCCCGCTACCACGAGAAGCATCTCTGGCCTTCTCCAGCGCCTAGCAGCCAAATCGGACCCCAGATTAATCCTCGCCTTACGACCGCAGGATACTATCCCTGACTGGATCACGCATCTGATGCTCCTAGGGAATAACAATCGGATTTTATTCCAAGGTCAGCGGGCCGAAGCGAACATGGTGTTCGATGTTTGGAAACGAGTCGTCAACGGCGGCCGAGAGGTTGCGTCTCTCACTAAAGAGGAGAAAGCGATTTTCCGTGAGGCAAAGAGCGCCATGGAGACTGGCCATCTGGACCGTCAGCTGCTCTGGGACCTCCAGTTACTATCAACAAAGACCAGTGGGTTAGCCCTGCCTGTCGTCAAGGGAGGGGAACCAGTCATCGAAATGGAGGGAGTTTGCGTGCAATATGGCGAGAAAGTTGTGCTGGGTGGATGGAAACAAAAAGTCAACGGAAAGAAAAAGGACGGCCTTCACTGGACCGTCCGTCGTGGACAGCGGTGGGCAGTCCTGGGTGCCAATGGATCCGGCAAGACGACACTTCTCTCTCTGATCACCTCAGACCACCCTCAAGCATACGCCTTGCCCATCAAGCTCTTCGGCCGTTCTCGACTGCCCGAGCCAGGGCAACCAGGCATCTCTATCTTCGAACTCCAATCCCGCCTCGGTCACTCCTCACCAGAAATCCACGCCTTCTTCCCGCGGCAACTCACTATCCGTCAAGCCGTGGAATCCGCCTACGCCGAAACCTTCCTCTCGAAACCCAAGCTAGACCACGACCGCGACCTAGACGTGAGCGCTGCCCTGCGCTACTTCAAGGCTGAGCTTGACCCCGACGCTGCCGTCACCACCAACGAGAAACCCCCGAGAGTGCCGGTTGAAACCAGAGCACATTTCCCTAGGATCGCCTTCGCCCGAGGCGCCAGCCCCATCTTCTCCCCAATCGAGTTCGACGTCGAGTACGCCGACTCCACCCTCTTCGGCCAGCTCAACACCGCCCAACAACGCGTCGTCCTCTTCATCCGCGCGCTCGTCCACAAACCAGACATCGTCATCCTCGACGAAGCCTTTTCCGGCATGCCTGCCTCCATGCGCGACAAATGCATCCACTTCCTCGAAGCCGGCGAATACTCCCGCAACCGCGCCTCCTCGGCCACCCGCCGCTCTGACAGCAAGGAAGACTGGCTGCGCGGCTACAACACCGATGAGTCGGACATCCGCCACCAGGGCCTGTCCGACGACCAGGCCCTCATCATGATCAGCCACAACCGGGAGGAAATCCCCGACAGCGTGCGCTACTACATGCGTTTGCCCTCGGAGAACGTAGAGGGTTCCGAGCCGCTGGATTTTCGCTTCGGGCAACTGAAGTATGGAAGGACGTTGAATGAGCCGACTACTTGGGATCATGCGTGGTTGCCGCCCTCGGAGTTCATGGCCCGGGGGGCCATGCGGTCGAGGCGTGGGAAGCAGTTGGGTGAAGGTGAGGAGAGTGTAAATCAGGATAACAAGGTTTACGAGATGTATTCGATTGGATAAAGTTTAGATTGTTCACTATTAGAAAGTGATGGTCCTGGCTGTGAGCCCGGGTAGTGTATATATATAGTGGTGTATTAAGACAAAAGCGAATCCTGTTCAACCCAGAACACCAATTGGCGATTACTCTAGCTTGGCACCAGATCATATCCAACAACAGTAGCATTCGATCAACGACGCTCGCTCAGAACAAAAACTATTTAAAGGACAAGAAGGATATATAGTTCAAACAAGCCACTATCATCATACATGCATGCATCCCAAGCAAGCTAGCGAGAAATGGCAATTAAGCCTTCGCCGCATCCGCCAATCCCGAGATCAGCGCCTCCGAGCGAGTCATCTTCGGCTTTTCGACTTTCTCTACCTCATCCGATTCCAGTCCCTTAGCTACGAGGTCGGCGAAGTCAATCCCGACTTCCGTGAGTAGGTCGGCATGTTCGTGCACGATGTCGATACACTTCTTCCAGACGGTCGTGCCGCGCTGGACGCTGCTTAGCTGACGTGTGAGGAGGGCGTTGAATCCGTCTAGGTGGTGTTTGGCCCATTTGATGCAGGCGCTGGTCATGATGGCTGGGAAGCATTGTTGGTAGATGCTGACGGTGTTTTTGATGAGGGTGAAGTAGACGTAGGAGATTTGGAAGATGTATAGAGGGAGGTCGCCTTCGAAGACACAGGCTCTGTTTTGGGATGTTAGTTACTGTGCTTTGGCTCGTCCTTTGAGAGAGGATGGAACTTGCCTGATTCGTTTAGTGATCACGTCGGATCGGCATTTCAAATAGGCCTCCCGGGCTTGATTTTCAAAACCCAAGCGGGTCAGACAGGAGACCTTGGTCTTGGTGGCGTTTAGAAACGAGGGCGTGTCGATTAAGGATCGCGACAGTACCCCTGCCAATTTGGCGGCTCGCTCGTCCACTTTAGAATTGATCACGTCCTGCGCGATCGAGTTGCCTTTCAGGCCTTTGGCGAGTTTCCGCAGCCGCTCGATGTTCAAGACGGCTTCTTCGAAGCGCTGAAGCGCGATATCGATGTCCAGTTCGTCTACCTGGCCTTCGACCCATCGTAGGTTTTGCTGCTTTCCGTCTACGTCGATACGGACTTCGGGTGCCTCACGCTGGGTTTCCAAGGCGCTGAAATCTGGTTTTACCATGGAGTACGATGACTGTCTTACTCCCAGATACCCGAATGACTCGTTCTTGCTTGCGGTCTCCGTTTCGGAACGCAGCGTCCGGCGAAGGTCTTCTACGGTTTTCCGGAATGTCGCGAGAAGGTCGATCTTAGCGGAGCCATTTCGCTTATCGTGGCGATAGGTGAAGGGTTTGGAGCCCACACGGACACTCACGGCGTTCATGATACCACGGTCTTCCGCTTCTTCACGGGAGACCCCCGGGCCAAGATTGGCACCAAGGTCAATCATGTCGACATCTTCCAGGGGCCAGCACTCTTCCGCTACGAGCTTGGTGGGCACCGGGCCCTGGTGGTTCGGGTTGCTCTGATCCACACGCTTTCGCTTTTTAGCCGCTACAAGCAGGTGGTCGTTGAGAAGAACGATGTGAACCGGCCGTCGGGGCTTCCAAGTCGCAGAGTCCAGCTCGACCCAGTTTCCCGTCTCCAACACGATGTGCCGACCTGGTACCACCGGTAGGAACTTCTGCGATCCTTCGACGGTCTTCCACAGGGTTTGCAGCTGAACATTCCACATGCTCTCCAGATTGGCAACGGAACTGCGATTGTTTCGCTTGGTTATGCGCTCGTCTAATGTCGGAGACATGGGGTTTTGATTGTTTCCAACGGTCGCTGTTTGTCCCAAAGCTGTTGTGAGCTCTGCCATAAGAGTGCGGAGAGTGCGCATCTCTCCCTTGAGCTTCTCCGCTTCTTTACTGATCTTGATGAATTGTGTGCGATTCTGATAGACATTTTGCTGGAGGTCGGTGGATGTCCTATTCTTAACCTTTTTTAGGCTTCTCTGGTACTCTTCGATCTCTTCCTCGGTTGCATTGGCAAGAAGGTTGGCGACATCTAAGAGGCACGGTACATACAGGGTTAGCAAGACTATATCCTCACGAAGATTCATGGCCATAAAACTTACATCTATCTACCGGTAGGCTAGGGTCCCGTAAAGCATTTAGATCCACTTGGGGTGGACCCGAGGATTCTGTCGAAGGGCGTCTGCTGGTCGACTGAGGTGGACTCAGCGCCGTATACTGAGACGGAACTGTAGGCACCCCGGGCACCGGTGGTGCGTTTGCGGAGTCAAGATCGGGAGCTTGATTGAACCGGGTGGAATATCTCCTCTTCACCAAATCGGAGGTTGCATCTTTTTGAGGAGCGCGTTCGCGTGAAGTGGAGGTTGACGTAGCGGTCCTCGGGTCGACGGCTTTACTACCAGGAGGGAGAGGCCCGGATATCGGTTTCGGCGCACTGATCTGGGGCCGGGGACGGCGGGATTTGCTGCGGAGGGTTAATCCGCGGCTTTCCATATTGTCTCGATCACGAAGCCCGGAGGGAACGGTTCAGATTCATGAGGAAGTGGACTGACGACGTGGAGGTAATGGATGGGGAGCTTGCTTGAATTCCCCCCCCCCGAGCGGGACAGAAACCCCGAGGCGGAAGAACAATGATCCTCCGCCTTCAAAATTGTCAGAACATGAAAAGCGTCACTTCCCCAGTCTCGTCCCCATAGACCAAATAAACATCCCTTTCCCCGGTTCGGTCGGACTCGCCTGAGGCACTGGACTTATTCTACCTCTGTGCTTTCTTTTATCCTTCTATAATAAATAATTACACACTATCTCCCGTGACACCATGAGGACGTCAGCTTTGGTTGCTGCTTCGGCCGGCACGGTTCTTACCGGCCTGTTGGGTAAGAACATAACATCAAAATCAACCAGCCGCGAAAAGCAAACTAATCAATCTATTTTCTTCTTCGGGATATAGCTTATGCCATTTACTTTGACCACAAGAGACAGACCGACCCCGAGTTCCGCAAATCGTTGAAGAGAAACAACCGTCGTCTGGCGAGAGCTGTGAAGGAGGAAGCCGAGGCTCAAGGAGCCCAGGAACGGGAATCCATCAAGAAGTCTGTCCAGCAGGCTCAGGATGAGGGTTTCCCGACCGACCTTGAGGAGAAGGAGGCTTATTTCATGGGCCAAGTTGCCCGGGGAGAGTCTCTCTGCGCTGAAGGTATGTTTCTGCTGCGGTGACGCCATCCACCTTTCCTCCCCCAAAAGAATAGAAGAAATCCCATTTGAAAGTAGCGGCGATTCACATACAAACCTAGGCTCAGACAAGGTTGAAGCCGCCCTGTGCTTCTACAAGGCCCTTAAGGTTTACCCTCAACCTAAAGACCTGATCTCCATATATGACAAGACTGTCCCTAAGGAAGTCCTGGAAATTCTGGCCGAGATGGTTGCTATGGATGCGGCTTTGAAGCTGGGCACATTCACTGGCGAAGGTGGCAGTGCTGAATCCAGCCATGGTGTCGAGTAAAAGAACAGACGTGACGCATTCATTGGATCCGGACTCGCGCCCTCGGCATTGTCAATCATCCAACCCTTTTTCGTATAAAATAAGAACTTTGCTTGGCCTGTGATCTGGCTTTCTCAGGTCGTCGGGTCACGCTGGGCCGTGGTCCGGACCCTTTTTCTCTTGCTTTTGCGCTACTAATCCAGTCGAAAAGACCAATCGATCTCTGTGAGGATTGATTCTTTTCAACATTTTCGCCTTGCGATGTCGCACTCTCTCCCTCTCCGCTTATTATTTGTTACCTTTTTTTTTCTTATTTCTCTTGTTCCCTGTATATTTGCATCATTGCCCATGTCTTGGCCGCCGGCGTGGCGGACTCTCTTGGTATTTCTCGGCGCCATGACTTTTTGTTTCTCATTTTTCTCATTCGGTTATTCACCCCCTTTTTCACCAGTCTTGGGGGTTTCTTGGGACATGGACAATTCTTGGGTTACAGGCGCCAATTATTCCTTCTCCCCAAGTGCTTCTCCTGACGGGTAACATTTGGGACTGTATTCTAGAGAGGCAGTAGTGTATCAACAGTGAGCAATTCAACGTGGATTGAGATGCAAAATGATTTTATTCCTGATTCGGTGATCTGCAAACCTATCCATGAATCATATCGAAAGCTATTATGCTACTAGTATGTATAGACCTGGAACGGTTTCACCTCATCTATCTACCGATATTGCCTGCCTTGGAATGAGCTAAATTAAAAAAATAAAATACAAAAAATAATAATAAAAATAAAATAAATAAATATTGCCTAGTTTCAACATTCAAGACCCTCAGCGCCAAGGGACTTGTCGGTAAAGGAGATTGGTTCTAGTGAAGTACTAGCCGGGAGTGGAGTCTCATAGTGCTGGAGTATACCCTTTAATGAAACTAAATTGCTGGGCATCAGTTGGTTCGGAGGGGGCCAAGGGTTCGCTCTTACTCAGTCCCTTTCTTTTATTCAAAAAGCCTTCTGCCGGGTCTTTCGCGACTCTTCTCTCTTCCTCCTTCCATTCATTCATCGTCGCTGTCCTCTTTTCGTTCTGCCCACGCTCGCTACTTCCCTCTCGGGGTTTGTCTAATCGTTGTGCGCCTTTTGCGCTCGTCATTCGTTCTCTTGTCATACATAAATACCCTTTGCTTTGGAACTTCCTGTGGAAGCACCTCCGTCCGATCCTTTGACTCTTTGTACTAGACTTTTCCAGCGAGACAGATATAGAAAATGCCTTCGGTCGGTTCTCTTTTCGATACCCACATCGATATATAGATCCACAGATTACCCGAAAAGGAATGTTGGCTGACTAACCGCCGAATATAACTATAGATGTACACTCGTCTTTTCGCTGCGCTTTGCGCTCTTGCGACCACTGCGAATGCCGTCACCACCATCGAGGTGAAGGGCAAGGACTTTGTCAACAGCAAGACCGGTGATCGTTTCCAGATCCTGGGTGTCGAGTATGTTTCTGTTCTGTTCTTTTCTTAATTCTGTTCACGCCATATGATCGCCTTGATATCAATGATATTCGATCGCGTTACCTCGTGGGGAAAGCGGTAGTGTTGATCATCGTATTTTATCTATAGTTACCAACCCGGCGGTTCTTCTGGCTTCAAGAAGGACAAGGACCCTCTCAGCGACAAGGATGCATGCTTGCGTGATGCCGCTCTCATGCAGCGCTTGGGTGTGAACACCATCCGTGTCTACAACTTGTCGCCCAGCCTCAACCATGACGACTGTGCTTCCATTTTCAACGCTGCCGGCATCTACATGATCCTGGATGTCAACTCCCCTCTGTACGGCAGCTACATTGACCGTACCGCCCCCAAGAGCAGCTACAACGCCGTCTACTACGAACAGGTCTTCGGTGTCATTGAGGCCTTCAAGAACTACCCCAACACCCTCGGTTTCTTCGCCGGTAACGAGGTGATCAACGAGCAGAGTGTCAAGGAGGTTGCCGCTTACATCCGTGCCGTCCAGCGTGACATGAAGGACTACATCAAGAAGAACGTCGACCGCTCCATCCCTGTTGGTTACTCCGCCGCTGACATCCGTCCCTGGTTGATGGATACTGTGAACTACTTCATGTGCGAGGACTCAGATGAGCCGAGCTCCCAGTCTGACTTCTTCGGTCTCAACTCCTACTCGTGGTGCGGTGACTCGTCCTACAAGAAGGCCGGTTACGACATCTTGACCGAGGACTTCAAGAACGCCTCCATACCCGTCTTTTTCTCCGAGTACGGCTGCAACGAAGTGACGCCTCGTGTCTTCACCGAGGTGCAGGCCATCTACGGTGAGGAGATGACCCAGGCCTTCTCTGGTGGTCTGGTCTACGAGTACACCCAGGAGGCCAACAACTACGGTCTCGTCAAGATCAACGACAGCGACACTGTCACTTTGCTCGTCGACTATGAGAACCTGCAGAAGCAGTACGCTAAGCTCGACATGGACCGCATCCAGGCCTCTAACTCGACCCAGACTTCCGCCAAGGCTCCCAAGTGCAGCTCCGACCTGATCAAGAACGGTACCTTCCTGAGCAAGTTCGACCTGCCCTCCCGCCCCTCCAAGGTCCAGGACATGATCGACAACGGTCTGTCCAAGGCCAACACCGGTAAGCTGGTCGATGTCTCGACCACCGCCGTCTCTCAGAAGATTTACGACCACACTGGCAAGGAGGTCACCGGCGTCCAGCTGAAGGCCCTTTCCAGCGGTGAGTCCAACACCCCCGGTAACAGCACCTCGGGAAGCTCCGGCTCCGGCTCCGGATCCAGCAGTGACAACACCCAGGACAACGCAGCCGGCAAGATGACCGCTTCCTTCATGGGTCTGGTGGTCGGTGCCGCTGTGGCCGCGGCCTCCGTGCTGTAATCAATCGACTTCGTTGTGTTGTATTTTCATATTGCGTGCGTTGAATTTAAACCTCATGTATTGTTTTCCTTCGTGACCGAGATGACTCTGGGATGGCCAGCAAGTTTATGATACCAGCTCAGGGACGCTGGGACAATTGACCTACTGGAGATGTTATTTAAAATGGAGTCTTTTCAATTCCCATCGGTAGCATGGTTTCTTTATAAGTTTAATTTGAAGACTGCTCATAAGAAGGGAACATGATCACCCCACTAATTCCATTTACACGAACCGACCACATACAGAGCGTGAATTGCCCCACAGATGAAAGCTAACCTTAATCTACTACTACGTACTATGGATCTTAGGACCGTCAGCACTAATATAACTGGGAGTGATCTTGGGCAACACAGCCTACACATCCGAGGTATATAAATCCTTACATCCCTACCCTACATACCTACCATACAGACTTCCAAGTAACTTAAAGGATATATCCCCAAACCAAACTAGATATCCTAAACCAACTATTAATATACCCACAAAACCAACCCTCAAAACAAAACCAAAATGTCCCCCAAACCAACAATCCTCCTCATCCACGGCGCCTGGCACACGCCCGCCCACTACGAACCCTACACCACAGCCCTGAGGAACGCAGGCTTCGAAGTCTACTGTCCACACCTACCCACCTGCAATGGCACCTCCCCCCCAACAGCAACCTTCGCCGACGACGTCACCCTAATCCGCCAAACCCTCCATTCCCTCATCACAGCCGGAAAACAAATCCTGTTGATCATGCACTCTTACGGCGGTTGCGTCGGCACCGACGCAGCCCAAGACTTCATATACCCCGTCACCACCACCACCTCCCTTAAAACCCCCACCGAAGAGAACCAGAAACCCAAAGGAGCCGGGATAATCCACCTCCTCTACCTCAGCGCCTACATGCTCCCGCCCGGGTCCTCAATCCAAACCATTATGGACAAAGCCGGGGTCGACGAACACTTATGGGCCCAATACATGGACGATGATGAATTTGGGTTGACCCTTCCCCGGGATCCTGGGTTGTGGTTTTATGGGGGTCTGGAGAGGGAGACTGTGGAGAGGTGTGTGAAGGGGTTGGTTAGGTTTCCGGTGGGAGTGCTTAGGGAGAAGACGAGTGGGGATGGGTGGCGACGGTGTCCTGTTACGTATGTTAGGACGGAGAAGGATTATGCTGTGCCCGGGGGGTTTCAGGATATGATGCTTGAGGAGGTTCGGGGGGAGGGAGTTGAGGTTAGGGTTTTGGGGTTTGAGACTTGTCATAGTGTTTTTTTGACGAATGTGGAGGAGATGGTGGGGGTGGTTGTTGGGATTGTGAGGGATAGGGGTAGTTTATAGCTGTTTTATACTGTCGAATGTGTATGGAGTCATTCATTTCACGGATGGTTTTAGTAGTAGTGTCAAGAGATAGGAGTTATAGATTGAATTATAGTTGCAATGGCCTTAAAAAGGTAGCTAATCTCTGAATTTACTTTCATAAGCCCCGCATTCTATACATCGATCCCGAACTGTAAATTAAAAGGTATGATAGAGCATAATCGAAATCAAATAGATACAATAAATAAATCAACCGAAAACAAGTGTACAATGTAACGAGTTACAAAGCTCGACTCTTTCCCTTCCCCTTGTCAGATTCGCCCCACGGCGAGAGTGATGGAAACTCGTCTGTTTGCTCCTGTGGCTGGCTCTCGGCAAGACTGAGTTGGATGGCAAGCTCCAGATCATCCATCTCTTGTTGGTGACTGCTCTCAGCGACGACCTCTGACGGCGAGAAACTGTGAGAGCTAGATTGAGATCCCTTGGCGTACTTGATGGGAATGTCAGGGTACTGTTCAAACGACCCAGGGCCTTCGTCAAGAAGACTCAAGCGAATCGCTTCAGCGATGTCAGGGGCAAGATCGTCATCAACAGGCTGCTCATATGGAGACGAGGAGGATGAAAATTCGTCCGCAGCGACCGAACTATCGTTCCGCCCGATAGTGTCGCTAGAGGTGGAGCTAGCCATGGAGCTAGGCACAACATCGCCCCGTTTTTGCGCCTCACTAGCGAAGGCCTCCTCACTCAGGAGTTGCGCATAGGCGAGAAGCTGCTCTTCGTCCACATCGGGCCCCAGCAGATCGATACCAAATCGGTTGCTGAGGTGCGCCTTTTCCTTGCGGTCGGCCTTTTCTTGTCGTTTCATCTCTGCCTGTTCATCCTCGATGAAGTCTTGGAGAGCTCCTCGACCGCTACTGTTGAAGCGTTGACCCTCGGGCGTAGAATTGCTGCCACGACGGCCGCGGCGGAACCGGCGTTTGCTCGTCTTATACTGATCAGCAGCACCGGAGCTGTAGGACCAGTAGCGCAAGTGGGACCCGAGGGCAACCATTCCCCTTAAGACCGTAGGATCGGGGTCTAGGCACATGGCCCCACTGGCATAGAAATTGTTTCCAACTCCGTGAATGGAAGCCTCCGCCTGCACTAGTCGACGGCGTGCGCGGGAAGAAAAGCGCGAATTGATGGTTCGGATAGGTCGAGTAGAAGATGCAAGAGGATCCCAAGCCTGCACAAGCCCGTCATTGCCGCCGTGCACGACGTATAGCGACGTAAGAGCGACACAGGACACTTGAGGAGAGTCTGTCTGGATGATGCGCATCGGATTGACGGAGTTGATAATATCCGAGTTCTTCGCCGTAGGAGCGCGTATATCCCAGACAAAGACCCCTCCGGTAGCTGTTCCAATAGCCATGTAGCGCCCACGTTGGCCGGGAATTTCCGAATTTGACGGCTGCTTCATGTGCGGCATGGGCGACGACATACCGGAGGAAAGTGCCGAGCTTCCGGACATCCCATGGAGAGGATCCTCATCAGGAGTCAGTACAGCATATGTCGAAACGTCCAATGCGCTGGTTGTGATCTCAATTGACTTGTGATCGCCGAAGACAAAATCCGAGATACGCCATTCCGTATTTGCGGCGGAGCAAATTGTTTCACCGATCCGACTAGAGGCTCGCGAAGGTGGCACGCTTGGTGTATTGACGGCTGAAGATAGAGACGGAAATCCAACAGGCCCACCGAATAGAGACGAGGCCATGGTTTCGCCAACTTGATACGTCCCAAAGTGCGACGGTGGCATTTCGACCTTCGTCAATTTTCTGGTGTATCTGCGAATTGAGGCTTTCTCATCTTCTCCTACACCACGAGCAATGACAATAACAGACTCACCGGCTCCGTGGCTATCATCGCCAGCGAAGTCGACTTGCATTTCACGTCTCATGTCCCAGCCCTCACAAACCTTTCGGAAATGTTTCGGCTTAAATGACATGAACTGCTCAATCTCCTTGGTCTCAGCAGCAAGTTGATTCTCATCAAGCTTCATCGAATCCGACGACGACCTCGGGCTATAGCTGCCGTCAACAGGCTCCCGACTGTAGGGGTCAGGCCTAGCCGTGCGGTGACTCAACTCTAGAAGCTCCCAACGAACACTCCTGCCAGTCTTCCACGCCAGAGTATCAATTTGCTCAGGGCTCATCTTAGCTGATGGGAGTTCAGGCTGGCGCGGCATGTCTGAAAGGTAGAAAACTTCACCTAAGGCATTAAGAACGGTTGCCCAGATGCGTCGGCGGGCGTGACGCTTGGCAGAATAATCGTTGTCGACTGCAATCGCAATGATGGGGACTCCCGGACAGAGAACCCATCTGGCAGTCACCTGGCCTCTTTCGAATCGCTGTTCATACGTGGGATGAGGTCCGAGTGCGTAGGCCGTAAGAACTCCAGAAGAGGTACCCGACATCATTGCGACCAATCCTCCAGTCATTTTCAGGATATTGGAGGATTTGGCGATCCATACAGCGGTGACCGCATTCGTGATCAGATTGAGAGTAGGAATGCCCAACTGCGGCTGTGAGATGGATTCAGTGAGGCCCAAGAATCGCCCGCGTTGCTCCATAGTTGAAATAAAATAGCTGCGTCCCTGAGGGCATCCCTCACCGTATATCATTCCGTAAGGTTGACTAACGTCCATGCGATTCGGGAGGCCGACCATGTTTCCAGAGCCAAGACCGTACTCGGCTTCACCAGTGAATAGATCCGCGAAATGGCGGAACAGCTGGTGGTCAGACAAGCCCCATGTCCCAACCTTGACCGAGGAAGGATCGCTGGCAGATGCGATTCCCTGCTCTGACGCCCCATGGATGAAAAGAGGCTGCTTCTTGGTCACCTCGGACCCGAAGGATGCAGCGAGATGACTGACGGGGTACAAAAGCTGGGAAGTGTACGTGACAACTGCGCTGCCATTGCGCATATTCACGGAACGAACTGTACCCGACTTTTTGGCAGGGTCGAACTGCGCCGGCTTGCCTCGGGCAAGTGACCTCAGCAAGCGGGTCCGTAGAATATACTCAGATCTCCATGATGCCAACGCAGTGAGGCGGGAAAAGTAGCGCTTATCTGAGGTGACCCTCTCGGGTGCGTTAGCCTCAGACAGGCTAGTGCCATTTTCTGCGACATAAGGCCCAGGAAAGTAGCGCGAAAATGCTATTCTCCAGGCATGGGGAGTTGTGACGAGAGTATGAAACCGGCGCGACACCAATGCCATAGATGAGAGAGCCGGCGGTGGCAAGTGCGAGAGGATGTGCGTTAAAACCTCTGCCAATCCATAGCGTTAGACAGGTGATTGTCCGAGGAGGATTATCCACGGCGACATACCATTTGGGAATGCGTCTAGCGACAGATGCGACTGAGTAGACGAGGGTGTTACTCTAAAGCTCAGATCTGTTTGTCTCCAAGGTGACTGTGCCATCGCATTTTCGTACTGACTGACACGGTCGAGAACCGGCGATGCGGGGGCTGAATCATCAGTCTTCGCCTGGTTCAAGGGTGACAGACGAGGTGGGTCAGAGACGCCTTCAACGTCTCCGGCCTCATGGGGAGGACCAGAGACTTGATGATCGCCATCGAGAACATGTCCATGCTGGGTGTTGTGGAAAAACTCTCTGGGGGGCGAATTTGTAGGAGAAGTGCGCTCAGAAACTGCAGCAGGCTCGGATTGCATAAAAAGGTTTCGCGGGGTTAACGGGAGCAACGGAGGCGACTGAACCAGGCCAGATTCTGGGTCAGTCGGGCAATACAAGGATGGGGGAGGAGAAGAGATGATGGCGCGAGAATGACGCTCTATGCGGTAGAGAATGCGAACGATAAGGGAAATAAATCTATACAGTCCGAAAGCGGGAAAGAGAGAGAGATATGATGAAAGGGAGAGTAAGAGTAGTCAAGGTAATAAAAAGAGGGACTGATGGAGAATCGACGTTCGGGATTTCGGAGGGGGAATGTGTCACGGGCCAGCCCTGTGATTGGTCACAGCGTTTTCGCGTTTCTCTCACGTGAAGACGCGCCGCGGAGGCAAATCGGATTGGATATCAATTGTTAGTAATATTACCCCAAATGTCTTCAATTTGATGGTATTTCTACCAAATCTACTGTGGATTAATTAAACATGCATCACATCCTGCATAAACACCGTGGATAATCCCCTGTCATTGGACCTATCCAACGGCTTGTTTTTCCAGGCAACAAACACCCACCCATTACAGCCTGACGGAATCACCATTTATAGTGGCCCGTCCGCATCACAATACCCACCTTCCTCGACACTTTCACTTCATGCGGACTGGAGTGACTTATTATAATGCCTGACCTTGGTGGTAAGTAGACGATTCTCTTCTATTCATCTTGGGCTATCTAAGTAACAAGAGCAGACGCGGAAACAATCCGCATCCTGGTTGCAACCGACAACCATGTCGGGTACAACGAACGAGACCCGATCAGGGGCGATGACAGTTGGAAGAGTTTCCATGAGGTGATGTGCCTCGCCCGAGAGCGTGATGTTGACATGGTGCTCCTCGCAGGCGATCTCTTTCACGAGAACAAGCCTTCCCGAAAATCCATGTACCAGGTAATGCGCTCGATCCGGATGAACTGCCTGGGCGATAAGCCCTGTGAGCTGGAAATGCTCAGTGACGCCAGTGAAAACTTCCAAGGGGCTTTCAACCATGTGAATTACGAAGATCTCGACATCAATGTGGCTATTCCTGTTTTCTCTATCCATGGCAATCATGATGACCCCTCCGGAGAGGGTCATTTGGCGGCCTTGGACATACTCCAGGTTTCCGGACTACTCAACTACTATGGACGGACGCCTGAGTCCGATAATATCCAGGTGAAACCCGTCCTACTTCAGAAGGGCCGGACCAAATTGGCACTATATGGTATGAGTAACGTCCGAGATGAACGATTATTCCGTACATTTCGCGACGGAAAGGTCAAGTTCTACCAGCCTTCGATCCAGAAAGAGGACTGGTTCAACTTGATATGTGTCCACCAGAATCACCACGCTTATACGGAGACTGGATACCTTCCCGAGAACTTCCTCCCGGAGTTTCTCGACCTCGTGATTTGGGGCCACGAACATGAGTGCTTGATTAATCCTAAAATGAACCCTGAGACTAAGTTTCACGTCATGCAGCCAGGGTCCTCTGTGGCAACATCGCTTGTCCCCGGAGAGGCAGTAACAAAACAAGTGGCTATCGTCAGTATCACTGGACGCGACTTCAAATGCGAGCCGATCCCATTGAAGACCGTGCGACCGTTTGTCATGAAAGAAATCGTCCTCTCCGAGGAAAAGGGGGCACAAAAGTTGGCTCGGAAAGAAAACAACCGGACTGAAGTCACTCGTTTTCTAATGGCAATCGTTGAGGAGCTCATTGAACAAGCGAAAGCTGAATGGCTGGCAATGCAGGAAGATGTTGAAGAAGACGAGGAGGTAGAGGTGCCCTTGCCACTAGTGAGACTGCGCGTGGAGATCTCCACACCAGACGGAGGCAGCTATGATTGCGAGAACCCTCAGCGGTTCTCCAATCGTTTCGTAGGCAAGGTCGCAAATGTGAATGATGTTGTACAATTTTACCGGAAGAAAAAGAACGCAGCAAACCGCAAGAAAGATGATGACGTCGATGCAACGGCAGTCTCCCAACTCTCGACGCTAGACACGGTGAAGGTTGAACAGTTGGTGCGCGAATTTCTTTCCGCCCAATCGTTGAGCATTCTTCCACAGAATTCATTTGGGGATGCTGTGGCCCAATTCATCGACAAAGACGACAAGCACGCCATGGAGATGTTTGTGAATGAATCACTAGAAAGTCAAATCAAACACCTCATGGCCCTGGATCGTGACAACGATGTCATGGACGACGAAGAAGAGGCGCAGAGCTCGCTGCAGCAGGCAATGGATAAGTACCGAAACCAGATGGAAGACATGTTCTCTCGAGGCGTGAAGAAGAGGTCGCGAGGGAAGAAGCGATTTAAGCCTAAACCACTTAGCTGGGACACTGAATTTGACGGCGTCTGGGAAGACCAACCCGGGGCACTTATACATTCAGACAACGAGGGTGACCCCAATGAAGAGGATGCTGCAGAGGATGGCACAGGACCAACTACCACGAAAGCAACGTCTACTCGTGGTCGGGGCCGAGGTCGTGGAGGCAGAACGGCAGCTACTACAACTACTCGCAAAGCAACTACCACCGCGAAGACCACATCAACAGCACCCAAGAAAACGGCACCCACTAAAACTACTAGAGGACGGAAGAAAGCCATATCGGACGATGAGGATGAAGAACAGGATGTCATCATGGTGGACGATGATGATGAAGACGATGGCCCTCCCGCAGCTCAAGCCCTCTCCGACGTCGATGATGATGATTCCCAATCTCTATTTGTTAAGCAACCTTCAACCCGAAGCCGCAAAGCAGCGCCCTCGACAGCCAGCACCCAACGTCGAGGGCAGACCGCGCCATCCCCGGCGCCGTCGTCGAATACTATAGGAGGAACCGCTACGCGTAGGTCTGCAACGACACGAGGCAAACAGACACAAATGACATTAGATTTTACCGGTTCCCAAATAAGTGCTCGTGAGAGCCAGACCTCCTCGAGGTCAACGAGACCGAGTCGGAAGACTCGAGCTACGAGTGTATTGAGCGAGGAAATTGATGACGACAGCGATGCCTTCGAGTCTGCGCCAGCCTCCAGAAGGAGGTAGACTCCCTCATCAGCAGGCTCGGAGGAGGAGAATGTATGTCTTTCATTTTTTTCGTGGGTATTCTTAGCAGATTATGACTTGTTTTCACATTCATGGCGTTTTATGTACAATATGGGACAATTCCAATCAATGTGATGAAAACTCAATGTCAAGAAAAGCGTCTTCCCTAGATTATCCGCACGATGACCGTCTGTGTTTATATACCTAGCTTTACAGACCAAGAAAGCCATCCCTGCAGATAGCGACGGACAACTACAGCTTGCCGCGGTTCAAGAATTTAACAGGAAGATCCACCCACTTGGCCCGCAGATACTCGGCGACATTCTTCCCTAGGAAGTCGACTGTAGTTGTCGCGCCAACGCCCCGGTCGAGGAGGTTTCTGAACAAGAAGTGTACACCACGGAGGTTTGGAAGCTCGAATCGCTCGATCTGTAGTTGGGGATTCGACCGGTACTCCTGTCCTAGAAGCTCCTGCGCCTTTGGAATGGAGAGCAGCGAGCGCAGCCAGAGGTATTCATCACTGTGGCGAACCCAGAACCCGCAGTTTGCGTCAGGTCCCTTGTCACCCGATCGAGCATGGACAATCCATCCTAGAGGGCCTCGGGTTGTTGGTCCGAAGTCTAGATCGCGGTTGGCAGGAGGCTCGGTGATCGCCTGTGAGGGTTGACGAGGCGGGAACTCCTGAGTCGTGGGCGGTGGAGGGATGTCCAACACTTGATTCTTCCACGGGAGGTGGACACGATGCTTCACATCTGCTTGGGGCAGAAGACTAACATAGTATTCATAGATGGGCTTTGGAAAACCCTGTCGTGCATCGAGGTGGAAAGTCGCGCCGGGATAGCCTTGCATGATATTGTCGGTGATATGGCGAAGAAAGTTATTGGGGGCTATATGTTCTGCTTCACGAGCCTGGGCAACAATTCGAAAGGTAACGGTGGCACTGTTTTGGTCTCGAGGATCATCTGGCACTGAACCTAATGTAGAGAATTCGAGAGCTGTGTATTTGGATGAGTATGGGGCGAGAAGGTGGCGAATCTGGTCCTCCAGCATCCGTGCCTTCGCATCAATGTCCAGCCCAACCAGAAACCATGAAGCCTCTGCTTGGAAACCGCCACGGGCTGTGATGCCGACCTTGGTCGTTGGAGGAGGTGGTGCAGATCGAACGCCGTGCACTGCCACGCGGTTGGTACCAACTTGTTCGAAGTGGATGTCCGCTAGCACGGCAGTAACGTCGGAGTTGAAGTACCAAGGGCCCTGAATTTCGTATAAAAGTTGGGAGGAGCAGGTATCAACGGTAACAGCGCCGCCGGGAGCAGACGATTGCATCGTGATGACCACTTTCCCATCTGCTGAAATCTCTGCAATAGGATAACCGATATTACGCCAGCCTTCAGCGCCGACTTTCTCCAGTGTCTTGAAACCGGTGAAATTGCCTCCGCATACGTAGTTGCTACATTCGATTAGATGTCCAGCAACAAATGCATTGGCTAGCTGGTCGAGATCGCTGCGGTTCCACCCATGGTACCAGTACGCAGCTCCAATAACAGGGGATGCGTCTGACACTCGTCCGCACAGAACGATATCGGCCCCTTGAGCCAAGGCCGCGGCAATTCCCAGGCCTCCGAGGTAGCACTGGGCATATATTGGCTCGAAGTTCCAGTCGGAAAGAGTCTCTCCTGTATAGACGTTTTTGAAGGTTGATTTACCAGTGGATAAAGCTGCTTTCACTGTTGAGAAAACCTCGTCGCCAGAGACCCAAGCAACCTGGAGTATATAAAATGATCAATACATGCCATGTGTAGAGTATTCTTACAACGGACTTACCTTTAGATTTAAGCCCTTGGCCTTGACCATATTTGTTACCACTTTATAAAGCCCTTCCGTGTCTGCATTTCCGGCGTTGACTGCCACTTTGATACCATGTTTGGCCAAATCCTCTAGGGCCGGCTCTAGTGCCAAGAGAAATGCAAGCTCATACCCCGGTGCACTCGTTGGGATCGCCGAGATGTTACCAGCACCCTCTTGGGCTTTATCTTGATCTATCCGTCGTGCTGCCCCCGTGACCATGTTCGCCTCGCTCATGAAGTCGGCGATGATGACGTCGACGGGGTCTCGAGGATAGTTACGAGCGAACTCAGCGATGGCATGTCGACGGTCGGACGTAGAGCCCGAAGCACCTGTAGGTGGCTCAGTCAATATCGTCTCTTATGAGAAGGGGATTAGCCTAGATATTGCAACCGACCTGCAATGCGAACTGGACGAGAACTCATGATGTCTCTGAGGGAAGTATCTATCTACTACGCGAGCAAGACGTGAAGAATTTTCCCAGCTGAAATGCAATTGATGGGGACCGGAATGCTTTAAGGTCACCAAGTGGTCTACTATCTTCCCACTAGTGAATCTTCTTGTCGATCAACCAAACTATGTAATGGCCGAGGAGGTCTTTCGGTTGTCGGTTCGGAGATGCGGGGTTCATTGAGCCACTGTATTAATCTGTTGAATCAAGGGCGGTGGAATAATGCAAGGTTATAATTAGCGGATAACCATCTCAGTTGATGTATCTGAATTGAAACTCTATGAGTTGTGCAGCCTGTAGTTGTTCAACTCTTGCTTGTTGGGGCTTAGTCCATGATATCACATGTGGATGGCAGATCCGATCCGATGTGGGTCAAGGGGGGCAGGAAACCCCTAGAGTGTGTTACTACATAGTAGTATATATTAGTAGCGGGTTGGATCGGTCGAGAGTGTTGTAAATGGGGAGATCTCATTTTTCTCTTTATTTTAGATCCGTTTGTCATAATCTACAAGGATCATATCTGTATCGCGCTATCGTGCTTACATGAGTCACCAAAGTCACCATACCGCTCGATCGGAGTAAGACATGGACTCCGAACCCACCCGCTTGTCGTATATTTGGCGGTATGGACGGGAATAACAACAACCTCGTCATCTCTCACCGACATTGACACTAATTGCCCTCTTTGATTCACTACCAATGGTTCAATACTACGAATCCATCTCGGATGATATTCGCGACTGGGCTTTACGCCAGAGCGTTTTCTTCGTGGCTTCAGCGCCCCTGCGTGGTCGCCACGTGAATCTGTCCCCGAAGGGCCTCCCAGACGCTTCTTTCGCAATTTTGGGTCCCAATGAAGCAGCTTATGTAGATGCGACGGGTTCTGGCAATGAGACAATCAGTCATTTGCGAGAAAATGGTCGTATTACTGTGATGTTCTGCTCTTTCGACAAGTCACCGCGTATTCTGCGACTTTTCTGCACCGGCTCTGTTATTGAATGGAGCGACCCCGAGTTTCCTCAATATTTGGAGCGCATGGGAGGAAAGCATGTCACAGGTGCCCGTGCTATTATCCATATGGATGTTTTCAAGGTTCGTTATTTTCCAGTTATAGCTTTCCCGCTTTTGTATCTATAGTCGTATACTTCATGTCCTGTATATTGATAGATTGCAGGTCCAAACATCGTGTGGGTACGGGGTGCCACAGCTCGCTTTAACTCATGACCCTGAGACCGACGAAGTGAAACCATATCTCAAAGACCGTGAGACTATGGGCTACTGGGCTGGTAAAAAGGTGAGTGCAGGCCAGATGCGTGCATATCAGCAAGAGTGCAACTCTAGTAGTCTAGACGGGCTTCCGGGTCTTCATTCTGCATTGCGAGATAACCACAAGAGTGTATGGCGGGCACAGTTGGACGGTTGGATGAACCGCCATCGAGATGAATTGGAGACGATGAAGACTTCAATCTTGCTTTTGTTTGTGGGTATGGCAATCCTGCAGTGGGCTGGGTATATATAGATAGATTGTTCATGACAATGTATCCGTTGTATGGGATAGAGATTATATGATATACGATTGATCCTTAGTCGCAAGGAACACGGGTTTCGAATTTAAATCTGCTTAGTTCTTTATAATGCGTAATCGATGTTATAGCTGGGCTCTAGTACCTAGGACAAGTAATTTTGAAAGGCCGAGGCAGTGAACGGAAGACGTGTCCATCTACGTGCCTTATATCACAATTGATTCAGCGTGAACGTTTAATGCACCTTTAAAATGCACTTAATTGACATGAGGGGAACAATTCTATTTGAGCTTTGAAGTATGATACATCGTACTTGGGCTTGCGTTCATTTAACAACTACAGCACATGAGCCCGAGTAGACACTCAGGCAACACCGCCCCTGGGCTTCGTATGGCTTGATTAGATGATGTATCAGATTGATCCCTTAGGCTAATGGTCGCCAATGGACCAAAGCAAAAGTGACCCTGCTCCTGCGGATTTACTTTTTTTCTGCTCGCTGCCACAGTTCATTAAACAGAGCCCTTCGAGTAGCCAATCCTTGAACCGAGACCCGTCAGACATGTTAAAGTCGACTATTTATAAGTGCAGTTATACAAGATGAAACGCAATGAACATCAGGAGGGTCTTGTTCTTTTGCCGATCCCGTGGTGCTGTTGGGCGCGCGAACCCCTGTTAGGGGGTGGAAGGTCCTTGATCAATATCGAGATTAATATTATGTTGCATGCCAGTATTATATGTGCGTAGACCAACAGAGATTAGCTTAAATTCGATCCTGATTCCGACCGATACCCTTCAGGTAGACTTGGTTTGCTGAGCTCAAATTGACTGTATCATCCATTTGATCCCGTCAGTGCTTATTTTACATTTTACTTATCCTAATGACCATGGTCGCAAGCCAGATGTACGCGAATCAGACCCCACTACCTCATTGAGATGTGCTGACACAGCTGTTAGTGAAGTGGATGTTCTGGTGATCGGTGCTGGCCCTACAGGACTGGGGGCCGCAAAACGCCTTCAGCAATTGGTATGCTCCATTATAGCACCTTAGAGGGCAATGTATAGGGTGTGGTAACTAGTTACTAATGGATATAGATACAGAACAACGCATCTTGGTTAATCGTTGACTCCAAGGAAACACCTGGTGGTCTTGCGTCCTTACTGGTCTATCATGCTCGAGGTCTCCGAATCTTTCGATCAACTCGTCAATCACAATACGCTCTTGGCCGACAGCATCCAGGGCCTTATCAACGCCGACTTGTTGAAGCCTGATGATGAGATCGCCAGCACGTATGTACGTCGCTTTGATCATGGATATCCCTCTCTCAGTTTGGAGCGTAACAGCGCACTGGCCGAGATCGTACCATACCTTCAAGAGAAGGACATTCTGTCTCGAGGTCGTTTTGGATCATGGGAGTACGAGGTTGGTAATAAGGACCGCAGGTAAGTTGAATATCTAACATTGCAAGGGGAGAAGTCGTGCTGAAAGTCTCCAGTTTCAAGCTCGGTGTTGATGCGATTGACCATATCCTTTTCGGCGGCCTTGAGGTGCCTTTATCGAACTAGGACTTTTGTCAACTCTCGCGCCAACACTGAGCGTCGCTTAGCATATACTAAGGTTTTCTGTAAGTACTTGTGTAGATACGGCCTGGATTGACCGCAGAGGGGATCGTCATCTTCTGGCTAATATAATTGGGAGTGCCTCGTCATTACCCAGCTTTATCGCAGGTGATTACAGCATAGAATTGTACATGATCTTTGTTATTGACTTATTCTTGCCCTCGAGCATTTGATAGATGGCTATAAGTAAGTGTATACTCAAAGACATCACTTTTTGTAGCTTGAGGGCACACTGGCAACCCAGGGAGGAAGGGGTGTAGACGGGGATAAATGCTGCCTCAGGAAGGAAAATGAAATGTCTAACCGGCATAAGTCAACCCGACACCTCATCTCTTCCAACAAACCAACCAGGGAAGTCGTCACAGCATCGGATGAACGAATGAAGATATCTATTAAGCCCGATATCACTACGGCAACATCTGTCGAATCTAAACCATAGATAGTTGGGTATTCGCATGAAACTGACTGGAAGATCCACTTAGAATATACATTGTTCAAGTTGCATGAAACTCTTATCGTTCTGCTGACGTGGGTGGTCTGTTCTTTAAGCTTTACAGGTATGTGGAGGATCACCGGGACGAATATGGGGTTGACATTGGATGCGGGGGATAAGCCTTGCTGTCCAAGTCGGCCAAAGGGGAAAAACTTCCCAACCATCCAGCATCAACGCCAAATTAGTCGAGACCCTCCTCGTGTTACATTCCAACAGCGCCTCGCATGCGCGATGATGTGAGAGTTCAAATCCCGCCTCCTTCACATACGAGCCGAATGCTGTGATAGTCTCCGGTAACCCGAGAGTACGGCGGAAGAATCGGATTGCGGGGTTTAGAATCCTTTGACGCAGGATGCGCTGAGCCCCGGTGGTCCGATCTGAGACGTGAACGCGCCCGATGAAGACGCAGAGATGTAGATCCCTATCGATATGGACTTATCGCGACTCGTGACCTGTTGAGGACGATGGTTTATGGCTGGGGTGGCATTCAAGGTACGGGAGCTTGTCCAGGGGAATTGCATGTCGGGTGAACCCTGGTCCTCCATGGTTAGAAGCTTAGCGCTCCGTCATGTTACTTCTTGTTACTGCTGTTCCAGACCCTCCTTCCTCGGAAGCCTCGCAAGCCCTGTCCTTAAATGGCATATCATAGTTCCGACGCGGCCCGATTGCATCTCCAGAGTCACCTGATTGGGTGATCGCCAACCAGTCATCGACGTCGCAGAGAGGAATTTGCGATGGATTTCAACCCGGAGTGATCGTCTATCATCTAATGCACCGATCACGTGACCCCTCGCATAACAGTACGACTATACTAGTAGGTACCTTACCTTAATACTACATGCGACCTGGCAATCATTGAGGTTGTTGATTGGACAGGGGCCATGTGACCGGAGGTGTTTCATTGGGATTCCCCTCCGTTATGGAATTCCAGAGCTAAGGAGTTAAAGTCACAAAAGTCGCCGGCGGGAAGGAAGTTCAGCCGGTCCAGTGGGGACGGAGGGGACTTGGCACTCTTTCAGTCAAACACTAATGTCTCATGACAGACGCCGCCAATTGGTGTTCAGCTAAGTTACGAATATGCAGGTGGACTATTTCCAGCTCGGAAGTATCAAACTCAACAATTTCGACAAGGATTGCCACAGGGGCTGCTCCGTCACCAGCATTATATTTTTCACTGATTCCAAGATCATTCAATACCACCAAGGTACAGACTACAGGTACTGGTAGACTATCTCCCGGACTACCTTGTTAGGTGCAGTAATGCTAGTTCCTCCTTTCGACCTACCAAATGCAAGCATGGTCTCCAACAACCCCGGGTCTGGACCAATCTTTACCCCATCTAGTAAGACTTTCGCCCCATTGATTTGTCGTGATTAGTGAGACTCGTTCTGGAGACGCTTGTTGGGTACCAAGACCAGAGCTTGTCGCTAGGAGGGGGTACCGAATGAGGAGAATGGATATAGTGATTAGCAACTATCTACTGCAAGCGTCTGCATAATTTGCTCTATCTGTTTGCCATGTTGGGGATTGTTGAAGATGGGTTGGCGGAGGTACTAGGCTGCTGACGATATAGCGGGGCAGCTTTTCCCCTGTCTCTATTTGGTTCGTATGTATGTACTCCGTACGAGCCAACCCTAATTCCTCCGCGACCATGAGTAAAAACAGTAATTGATGGTCGACGGAATGCTTAAAAACTTGTTCAAATACCATACATTAAACCCACGTGGATCTTGTAGTAGAGTTTCATGAACCACCTAAGGTGAGCCAAAGGGAAAACAAAGTTGAAAA